ATATTTATGTTAGTTGTAAATGGACCTTTGCTTTATTTAAACGTAGGGCTGAGACTCAAACCCAGGGCCTCACACATGCTAGGCAAGTGATCTCCCGCTGAGCCACAACCCCAGCCCAAGAGTATTGCTGCCGTGAGCAGAAAACAGGATTTTTAAAGTGAGGGAGAATAAGAAGAATGGAAGGAAGGACTGAGTAGATATTTGGGGGGTCACTAGCATAGGACCCCCACCCCTTGAAACATTTGGGTAACTCACCTATCTCAGGTGTCCCATCACAGCATCTGTAAAAGGCCTTCTGACCTGGGGGCTGCTGCGGCTGTGCTACCAAAGGGCCCATGAGGACAGTGCCTTAGCGTAGCTCTCACCCCAAAGGAACCCAAAGAGGCCTGAGGTGGGGCTTAGTTTTCTGACACCCGAGATTGAGTCATGAATATGTGAAGCAATAAATGGGGAAGGACACTGGGCTTCTCAGGAAACCCCTGGAATTGAACAAATAAGCCGAAGGATGGACTAACACCAAGGGAGCTCTGGGGATCTGAGCAGGGAGTTTGCAGACCGTCTCCCTACATCTGCTCCCTTGGGAGTTCTGACACTCCCAGCTCTGGGGCTCTTAGATCAAGTGCCAAACCCCTGAGAAGGAGAATCTGATTGGCCAGCTGGGTGAGCCACAGGGAAAGGTGTGTGGCAGAGGCACCTAGTACAGACAGGCCCCAGAGCCCTCCCGGGGAGGTGGTGACCTCTGGAGGTGGTACAAGTTACCTCTGGAGAAGCAGCTTGCACTAGTGTCTTGGGGCTGCCACAGCACAGTACCACAGCCCTGGTGGCTTAAAGAGTGGAAGCTTAGTCTCTCACAGTTCAAGACCAAGGTGTGGCAGAGCTGGTTCTTTCTGAGGGCTCTGAGGGAGGATCTGTTCCGTGCCCCTCTCCTAGTTCTAATGGTTTGTTGGCAATCTTTGGCGTTTCTTGGCTTATGGAGGCACATCCCAATCTCTGCCTCCATGTCTGCCTGGCATTTTCCCTGTGCAAGTTCCTCCATGTGCAAATCACTTCTTTTTATGTCAATACCAGCCATGGATTTGGGGCCCACTCTACTCCAATATGACCTCATTTCAACTAAGTACATCTGCAACGACCCTATTTGCAGGTAAAGGCACATTCTGAGGGATAGGGAGTGAGGACTTCAATATAGGAATTTGCTGGAATCAGGGGAGAACATCATTCAGCTCACACCATAAATGTTACAGCTTAACTCAGTTGAAAGTTCTGGGCTTGGGAATCACTGACTCGGGGTCAATGAGAAACCTCTGGCAGCCAACTTTAGGAAGAACCAAGGAGATGGAAGCAAAACCAGGAAAGTGTGGTGTTAAGAAAGCCACACATGAGCGGGGGTTCAAACAGGAGAAATTACACAGAAAGCATCAAAGAGCTTCTGCTAGATTTTGTGGTGCTCTTTGCAAGGCGGATTTTGACTAGGAGGTGTTTAAGGTGTGCTTGGGACATGATGGAAACAGAGAGAAGTGGACAAGCAGACAGTCTCTTGTTTAAAATGTTGGTTGTAACAAGGAAGAAACAGATAGGGTCTCAGCTGGAGGAGGACACTGGGTCCCAGGAGGCATTTAAAATTTGAGCCTGTTTGGAGTTGGGATGTAGCTCAGTGGTAGTGTTCTCCTAGCATGTGTGCATGCTTGAGGCCTCAGGTTATATGCTCAGTATTGCAAACACACACACACACACACACACACACACACACACACACACCTTAAGCATGTTTAATGATGATGGGAATGAACAAGGAAAAAGGGAGAGAGAAAAGATAGATGGTGATGGTTGGGTGTGGTGAGGCAAGAGGATGTAAGTTTGAGGCCAACCTTAGTGACTCAGCAAGACCCTGTCTCAAAATAAAAAGGGCTGGTGAGGTAGCTCAGTAGCAAAGCAGTCCTGGTTCAATCCCTAGTGCTGAAAAGGAAGGAAGGAAGGAAGGAAGGAAGGAAGGAAGGAAGGAAGGAAGGAAGGAAGGAAGGAAGGAAGGAAGGAAGGAAAAGAGAAAGGAGAGGTGCTGAGGGCCATTGCCAAGTAGGAATGATGCATCAAAATTTCCTTGCCAGCGTACCCCATGTTGCTTAGGGGAAGGACTCGTGGAAATGGACTTGCCTTGGACATTCGCTGTGACATATTGCATGTATGTTTGAGAAAGGTGACCCTGCTCAAGGACCAGGGTGGATCCAGGTTGAGGGTGTATCCTGCAGGTTTTAGGAAGTATCCTGCTCCTTGGGTTTAGGGCTTTCCCGGTTTAGGACAATCTGGGTTTAGGGCAGTTCCATGTTTAAGGTTATTCCTGCTGGGAATAGGGCATATCCTGCTGCCTGAGTTCCCGTTGAGTTCTCCTTCTCCTGGGATTCAGAAAGTATTTGGGATTCAAAGCCTGGTGGAGAAGTGAATTTGGCGGGCAGAACTTGGATTTCCCCAGAACGTGTTTGTAGAGGGCCGGTGTGAGTTCGGGAATAAAGAATTGCTGTTTGAATCTACAAAGCTGTGAGTGGCTCGTGATCTTGTGCCCAGCCAGACTGCGGCAGAGAGGAGAGCAGAGCAGAGGAGAGAAGGAAGGGAAAGGAAAGGAAAGACATGGCACAAGCTCCCAAGAAGGTGCAATGGCTGTCTATCACATGCCAGGCACAGAATAGGTGCTCAATAAATATTTGTGAAATAGAGGCATAACTGCGGGCTGGCCGAGGAACAGGCAGAGGAACTGGCCAGAGCCTCATACTGAGTCCACTCAGTATGGCTGCCAGCTTTATGGCCACTCCCTGACCTCTCAGGACCACGACTGACACTCCACAGGCACTGCCCACAGTTCAAATTCAGGACAGAATTTAAGACGCTCCTGGGGACCTCTGAGTCAGAAGCTGAGCTCTGGTTGGCTGTGGCCAGGGGAATCAGGTCTTGGGGCATCTTCCATGGGATCATTGGGAGCATGCAAGAAAGGGACACAGACTGTACTTTTCACACTGACTTTCTCTGACTCAGAATACCTGGGAGCTAAGTCCTTGACTTTACAAATTGATACTCATCATCTCAAGAGGATATTTCAGTACAAAATCACAGTCGGGATGTTTATCTGTCAGCCCTGGAAGGCACCCAAAATGAACAAGTGGTTAACTCTCAAACTGGACGGTAGTTTTTGCTAAGGTGAAATAGAAGGAAGGGTAGAGACCTTTTCTTTATGTTGCATGGACTTTATATGGTTTTTTTAAATATTTTTTTTAGTTATAGGTGGACACAATATCTTTATTTTATTTATTTATTTTTAATATTTATTTTTTCAGTTTTCCGCGGACACAACATCTTTGTTTGTATGTGGTGCTGAGGATGGAACCCTGCACGCAGGCCAGGCGAGTGCACTACCGCTTGAGCCACATCCCCAGCCCTCTTTATTTTATTTTTATGTGGTGCCTGGGACCCAGTGCGAGCGCTCTACCTCTGAGCCACAACTCCAGCCCCTTGTTTTGATTAGTTTTTGTTTTTATAATAAACTTTATTTTTTATATAAACCATAAATAACTTATAGTATACAATCTTCTTAAAAACTAAATTTTAACTTAAGAGTATCCAAAAATATTTTCCTTTTGGAGAAAGTGGAAACATTATCAGTGAGTTTCTAGTCTCCTCCCCTACCCTCCCCAGTCCCCAAACAATCTACAATAAAATCCACTATTTATCAGTTTGGTATGAAGCATTCCACACTTTTTTAAATGCATATATGTAATATCCACATCAAATACACAGTCTAGGCATTTAAAGGACTTAAATATGTTTTCATATGGCACTTGTGCTAGACTTCTCTCCATTATTTTTCTCATGGAGCCCACATCCTTAAGAGTAGCTTTTTTTGAGATATATTTTTAGTTGTAGTTGGACACATATCTTTATTTTATTTATTTATTTTTATGTGGTGCTGAGGATCGAACCCAGGGCCCCACACGTGCTAGGCGAGCACTCTACCTCTAAATCTCAGCCCCAGTTTCCCTGAAGAGTAGTTTTAACTCCTACCTTTTTTTTTTTTTTTTTTGTACAGGGACTGTATCACTAAGCTACGTGCCCAGCAATTGTTTTCCAGGTACTGGCAATTTAACTGAGGCGCGTGGGGGGTAGGGGCCCTTACCAACTTAACCAACTGAGCCACATCCCCAGCCCTTTTTATATTTTATTTAGAGACAGGGTCTCACTAAATTGCTTAGGACCTCGCTAAATTGCTGAAGCTGGCTTTGAATTCCGATCCTCCTGCCTCAGCCTCCTGAGTCACTGGGATTAAAGGCCTGAGCCAAGGGCACAGGGCACTTTAACACTACTCCCTTAAATTCTACTCCCCTTCCCTCAAAGTCTCTAGAACAGAGACTCAACACTTGGAACATATTTATACTGAAAAACTTCCCCTTGTTTATCTGAAATTCAAACTTAACTGAGTGGCCTGTATTTTATCTGCTAACCTTGAGACTTGGACTTTTGTTAAAAATACCAGAGGTCTCATCAGCAGGCATGATTCAGTAGGTCTGGAAGCCGCCAAGCCCAAACTCTGGTTTCTGTTTGTGGTGCTGGGAATCAAACCATGGGCCTCGCAGAGGCTAGGCAAGTGCTCTGTTACTGAGCTACATCCCCAGCCTCCAAGCCTGTATTTTTAAAACCTGATTCTGATCAATCTGCCCCACCAAGCTGGTGGGTGCTGTTCGTGCTTGGCCAAGCCTCTAGAGCTGCTGTGTCCCCACTGCAGCCCGAGGGAATGCACTCAAGGGTGGTGCCCTTTCCTCCCCTACATTGTGGGGACAACGAGTGGCTTTCTGCCACTCTTCCGCAGGCCGCCCATTTTCCCCTGGACTCACGGATTTTTCTGAGTTCTCAGGATCCAGATGGGCTAATCATTCCCCTCCCAAGCTGTAACTTTCAAAATCCTACGGGGGCAGAGGGCGGGAGGGGGAAATGGGTGGAGCAAGAGACAAAGAAAGGGGAGGAATCCGGCGGGGCGCAGGGTGCCTCCCAGACGCCTCAGGCTCTCTCTTCTGCTTTTCTACAGAGAAAGACCCACTCTGCCCCGCGGCCCCGCCCTGCCGCTCCCGCCGGTGACCTAAACTGCTAAGGCGGGGCGCTGTCGTGCAGGAGCGCGGCCAACAGAACTCAATCTCAGCCAATCACAGCGAGGTCCTTAGAGAGGGGCGTGGCTCGGCAACTTCAGCTCGCGACTGGACCAATCCGGACCCCGGAGGCCAAAGCTGTTTCTACCTGGGCCCAGGTGCGGTCCGCTCTGCATCTCCCGGTGGCTCGAGTGCAGGATGGAGTGTACGCAGGAGGCCTCGGGAGGAGGCCAAGCCGAGGCTGGCTTCCCAAAGGAGCCCTTGGAAAGCCAGATCCCCGGGCCAGCCCAGCCGCACGTCCCCGCGGAGGCGCAACAGCCTGAGAGTCCCGAAAGCAGCCCGAGCCTGGCCCGGGTCGTGAAGGAGGCAGCGGGCGCGGGCCCGGACCTTCCAGATGAGAAGAAGCTGCCTCCCCCTCGCCCCGGGCTCCTGAGGGTACCGCCACTCAGCCTGGGTTACGGGGCCTTCCGCCGCCTGGGGTCAGCCAGCCGCGAGCCGCCGTCGCCTGGCCCCTCCTCGGCCGAAGAGCCCCGGGATGGCGAAGCAACTGGATGCGAGTTGGTGCCCTGGTCCACCCCTGGTGAGCAAGCGCCCGGCCCTTGGGCGCCCATGGAACTGCAGGTGGACGTGCGCGTCAAGCCCGTGGGCGCGGCCACCGGCAGTCGCGCGCCCTCGCCTGCGCCCTCCACGCGCTTCCTCACGGTGCCAGTACCCGAGTCCCCGGCCTTCTCCCGCCACTCCTGCACCCTGCAGCGAGCTCCGTCTCCGGGCGTCACGTTAGGCCGCTGCTCGCCGTTGGCTGCTACCCAGACCGAGCGTGACCACCACGTGGAGCGCCAGGCCGAAGGGCGCCCGGGCTCTCCAACGTGTCGCTGCCGCTGCCAGGAGCAAGGACTGGGAAAGGAGGACGCGGCCCTGCTGCAGCGTGCTGGGATGGACGGTAAAAAACTACCCCGGGCGATCACACTCATAGGTAAGTGCTCACTGGCGCCAGGAGTCGGCGCTGCCGGGTCGGGGTAGGTGAGGCGCGCGCCCACGAGAACAGTGCAGTGGAGGGACTGGTGCACCCGAAGGCTGTCCTGATGCCGCGACCCCATCTGGTCCCTCTGCCTTCGAGTTAATAAATTTTGGTCTACCTAAATGTAATTCAAAGTGTTTGCGATAAAAGAATAAAACCACTACCCCTCCCCACCCACAAAGAACTTTCGCATTCCTTCTGAGTGTGCGCATCATCTTCCAGGAGAGGTATAAAGAATTCCGGATGAGGGCTGGGGATGTGGCTCAACTGGTAGTGCGCTCGCCTGGAGTGCGTGCGGCCCGGGTTCGATCCTCAGCACCGCGTACCAACAAAGATGTGTGTTCACCGAGAACTAAAAAATAAATATTAAAAATTAAAAAAAAAAAAAAGAATTCCGGATGAGGGGAAGTGATGCAGGATCACGTGGCGGTGGTGGCCAGGGCAGGAACACAGGCTCCAGCCGGGCCAGAGCCCACAACCCTGCCATGGACGGACCTTTCCAAGGCCCGGGCTCCTTCCTCTCCGTTATATTGCGGAGCGTGGGCCTCCACTTATCCATTCAGCACGTACTAAGTGGAGACCACGGGTATATGCTAGGGTATATGCCTGTGTGTTTTTGTTTATGGAGGTGTGGAGCGCTTGGCACAAAAATGGGGACAGCCCAGAAATGATGTAAACAACCCTGGATAAGGAACTGGTCGGGAGTGGTTGGTGAACTTGGCCGCGCCAAGCTTGCTTAAGTAGTTATCTTGAGGACTTGAGATGATGGGAAGGGCTCCTTCTAGGGCCAGATCTGCAGGAACAGAAGCCAGGAGGGGTTAGAGCCCTGCCCAGCAGGCAACCTGCCTGAAGCGCCAGAGATGTGATATGGAAAGGTAGGAGGAGGCCGGAGATGTGATATGGAAAGATAGGTGGAGTCAGGCACCAAATCCCAAGGGGTTCCCCGTTCTCAGATATGAGGAGGGTTCCAGACTTGGTTCACTGGGGAACTTTTGCAGCCTTTGGTCTGAGCACATTTTCTACATGATGGACTATTGGTTTTCTGTTACTATTGTAACACATTTCCACACACTTAGTGACTTTAAATGATGCATACTTATCTGCTTACACTTGTACCTGGGAAGTCAGGTGCAGTCAAGATGCTGGCAGTGGCGTGGCGGCCATGTTCCTTTCTGGGGGCTCCAGGGGAGATTTCCTTTCCTTGCTTTTTACAGTTTCTAGGGGCCAGCGTGTCCTTAGCTCATGGCCCTCTCGGTATTCAAATTCAGCAGTGTTAGGCCGAATCCTTCTCCGTTTGCCACCTCTCTGACTCTCACATTCTTCTGCCTCCCTCTTCATGTATAAGGACCCTGGTGATCACATTGGGCTCACCCAGATGATCCAACACAATCTCCCTTTCTCAAGGTTGGCTGATAAGCGACCTTGATTTCCCTTTGTCGTGTAACCCTACGTATTCACAGGTTCCAGGGATTAGGACATGGACATCTTTGGGAAGACAGTGTTGTGTCTACAATGATATCAGTCTATACTTTCTTTCAGATTCTTAAAAAAAAAGCCATGACTAGGAAGGGTAGCCTGAGGGAAGAGCCAGTGAGGCAAGGTGACATGGTCTTGTTTTTTGTTCTAGAAAAAGGGCTCTGACAGGGTTAGGGATGTACAAGGCCCTGGGTTCCATACCCAGTTATCCACACCCCTCCCAACACACACACACACACACACACACACAGAGAGAGAGAGAGAGAGAGAGAGAGAGAGAGAGAGAGAGAGAAAGTGAGCTCTGATAGCATTATGGAGGAAGGCTGGGGCAGGGATGAGATTGGGTGGGGTGCTTAGAAGGCATTAGCAGTGGTTCAACTGGAGATGATGAGGCTTGATCTATGGCAGAGGCAAGAGGGAGAGCTCATGAGGCAGAATTCATGGGCTGGATCCATGATCAGATGAAGGTAAGCTTACCAGGTGAGTGGAGATGTCACCCCTGTTTCTGACTTGGGTAACTGGGTAATGGATTGTGAATCCTTCCACAGTGGAGAACACCAGAAGAGGTGTTGCTGGAGAAATAAATGAGAAAATGGCTTCGGGACCTCCCAATAGAGGTGTCATTTAAAGGAAGAGGAAAAGGAGCTAGCCACAGAGACAGGGGCATGGGGAGCTATAGAAGGGAAATCAGGAGACAGAAAAGGGGGAGTTTACGGAAAGTGTGGCCAAAGTTACCACAAACAGTGATCACTTCATGTCACCAGAGGGATACAAAGCAGAGTGGGTGGCAGGCTCAGATGCCAGGCTGAACCTATTGCCAGGTGGATGCCATCCTTGGTGCTTTGGTTTTGTTTTCTGGGAAATGGGGAGTTAAAGAACTGAGGCTTGGTGTGCAGGATTCTTCTCGGATGAGGAGCTCTGCTGAGTGGTCTCTGCCTGTGGGACCAGGCTGGTCACCTCAACAAGAAGGGAAAACGAAGATGACTTACCCAAGCCAGCATGATGATGCTCCAACCCAGCTGCTGCTCATTTCCTCGTGAACTTAGAGGAAAGAGTCACCCTTGAGAGCGTCGGGATGTCACTACTTGGTCTCATCCCTCGCTTATATGGGCAGGTGTCCCCAAAGAACTGTGCAGGTGTAAGCAGAGGCACCACACACAGAGTGTTCTGATTGGCGGCTCCCAGCCTGCAGGCATCGGGCAGGAGAGAGGAGAGTTTGCAAAGCTTAAAAGTGAAGAAAGAGGGCTGGGGCTGGGGCTCAGTGGCAGAGCGCTTGCCTAACACCTGTGAGGCACTGGGCTGGATTCTCAGCACTGCTTATAAATAAATGAATATAATAAAGGTTCATCAACATCTAAAAAAATATTTTTTAAAAAAAGTGAAAAAAGAGCTAGATTTTCAGATGAAGAATATTCTTCCTTCTTGGTTTGGAGTCACCTTCTATGATCCGGGAGGCCAGCTTAGGTGTCCCTGTCACATATTCTCATTGTCCTTGCGCTTCCCAACAGCAGCATTCTTCACTCAGCTTAAGGTTGTCTCCTTGTCAATGTCCCCGCCGCGCCGCGGGGGCAGGGAAGGTGGCAGACACCCTGGATCCCAACTCCTGGCACCGGGGTCTGCTCCGAGCCTCAGTCCATGGTGGAACTTCTTAGTCCCTAGCTCTCTGGAGAAAGAGGAGAGGGAGTTTGATCTCAGTGGTTGTCGTGGGTTGGCACACCAAGGTTTGGAGGAGGACGTAAGGGCCCCCTCTCAAGAGTCCCCGTCCAGGCAGAGGGCAAACATTCAGAGAGCAAAAGCACAAGGCAGCCTGGAGGAGCCTCGAGGGGTAGGGACTGTCAGCAGAGGCAGCAGGGATGAGGGGTCTTCTAGAGAAGAGAGCAGCACAGGAACTCAGTAGTGATGGAGGTAGGAAGCAAGAACTTGCTCCGTCTTCAGTGCCTGGAGGAAAGCGAGACAGGAAGACACTGATGTCCCCAGGTGGAGAGAGGCAGAAGTTTACCCAGTGTCTATGACACAAAAGCAGGCAGCTCACTGGCATGAGCCCCTGGGGCCCCTTAGTATTTGGAAGTTTGTATAATTTTTTAAAGATGGCCCCCAGCTGGGCCTGGTGGCTCACGCCTGTAATCCCAGTGACTTGTGAGGCTGATACAGGAAGATCGAGAGTTCGAGACCAGCCTTAGCAACTTAGCAAGACCCTGTGTCAAAATAAAAAAATAAAAAGGGCTGGAGATATGGCTCAGTGGTCAAGCACCCCTGGGTTCAATCCCCAGTACCAAAAAAAGAAGAAAACAGCAACGAAGATGGCCCCAAACTGAATAAACTTGAAGTTCCATAAGACCCGGATCCCCCAGTCTCGGTATTTTACTAGGTGGAAGTGCTTGTTGTAGTCAAAACATAGGAGATGCAGGTAGGAACAGTGGGAAAGGATGCAGAGGTGTTAGTTCTGCATTGACAAGGAAATCAAGATCGACTGGAAACTAGAGAATGGCCTGAGGGAAGGTGTCAGAGAGCAAGAGGTACACATGGCTACAGTCATATTATTACTATCCTGTCATAGGAATGTCCCTTGGCCATCGGGAAGTGTTGGCTGGAAGCAAACAATTAGATTTAAAGCCAAGAAGTTCCAGGATTAGAGGGGGAAAAAAAAAACAGTTCAAGAGCTTTTATCTTCTGTGTTTTCAGTTTTTTTGCAAATAGGGTAATTTTTGTTCCTTTGTGATTAAGAGTTTCTTTCTGAAGAGGGCGGGACTACCCTTTGGCTCTGCAGGGGGCAGCTTGGAATGAAGTGGGTCCTCCTTCCTGGTGTGGGAGGCTGAATTTCTTTACCTCTTTGTTTCTTACAAAGGTCAGAGCTAAATGTAGTGTTCAGCCACAATAATTATTACCTAGGTGATGGGTAGATTTATTTTCCTTGTCTTCTCCAAGCTTTTTAGTTCTGCTTTTATCATTTTAAGACTCCCTTTTTGTATGTAGCTTTTATACCAAGCATTTCCGGATTCTTCCTTGTTTAGGTAAGAGCTTTATTGAGATATAATTCATATGCCATAAAATTCACCAATCTGAAGTTCAATAGTTTGTAGTATATTCTCAAAATTGTGCAACTATCACCACTGTCGATTTTAGAACATTTTCATCATCCCCCAAAAAACTGTACCCTTCAGCCATCACCCCATACACCAGCCACCAATCTTTTTATCTGTTCCTTCTGTCTGGAACATATCAATGGACTCATAGTATGTATTATTTGGTATCTGGATTATTTCCCTTAATGTTTTCAAGGTTGATCCATGTTGTAGCTAGTATCAGTTCTTCATTTCTTTTTAGGGCTGAATAATATTCTATGATATGGCATACCATGTCTTTTTTATCCATTGATATATTGATGGAAATGTGGGTTAAATCCCTTAAAGAAGCAAATTGTATGTGTAGCTTTTTGTTTTTAGTTTTAAATGTAGGACTAAAGGTGTGGCTCAGTGGTAGAGTGCATATTTAGCATGCTTAAGGCTCTGGGTTCAATTTCCAGGATAAAAAAGGGAAAAAATCCCTTGGGTGCAGTGGTGCATGCCTATAATCCCAGTGGCTGTAGAGGCTGAGGTAGGAGGATCTCAGATTCAAAGCCATCCTCAGCAATTTAATGTGACCCTGTCTCAAAATAAAAGGGCTGAGGGTGTAGCTCAGTGGTTAAGCCCCCCCTGGGTTCAATCTCCAGTACAAAAAAAAAACGAGGTTGCAGGTGGATGTTAAATTTTCACATATCAACATAATACACTTCCTGTTCTGATTTTTGAAGCAGGTATTTTTCCCAAAGCCAATGAAACCAGGGATTTCAAAGTGCTTCTGTCTGTAAAGATGAATAATGATTTATTAAATATCTTGGAAACGTGTCCATCTCTGTGTAGGTATGTGTACATGTGGGTATGAAACTTGCTAATACACATGTGGTGTTGTTCTGATGCAGTTGGTCTTTTCACAATGGTAAAATACCACTGCAGAATCACCTCCGCTCTTTCCAGGCTTTGGGAAGTGTGATGGTTTGAGTGACTCCTGGGGCCCTTGCAGCAGAGGCTCTGGGAGGAGAGACTGCTCTTCTTGCTTGACGTCAAGCTGTGTCCTCAGAGAGATCAAATTCAGGAATGCTCAGTTGGGGTGTGAACCTCCAGATCCGGGGCTGTGATGAAGTGTTTGCAATCATGCCTCTTTTCTTGTACTCTGCAAGTTCCCTGCGCTGGCTTCCCCAGTTACTCCTTTAACTGGGCGAGGCCTGGCACTGGGAAGCATGCCGTTCCTCTGCTGCTCCGTGCCCTTGCCTGCTCTCCCCACCTGGTGTGCCCTCCATTCCTGCAGCCCTGCCCCACACTCTGATCCGCTTGTCCTGGAGCCGCAGGCCTATGTGCTGAGACCATAGGATTTGGGTGAACTCTCAGCGGGCAGTGTCCCCTGGGTGCCTGTTAGGCCCACTAGGTGTAGGGCTTTGCATCTTTCTCCCAAGTGACCTAGCTTGAGTTTGGGCCCAGGAGGCCATGACACTGGTGTAAGGAGTTGGCAGGGTTCTGGGTGGGCCTTGGCTGGGTGGTCTCTTGTCACATCTCCCTTCTGCCTGTCCCCACCCCCAGGGCTGCCCATGTACATGAAGTCTCTGCGCTGGGCCCTGGCAGTCATGGCTGTGCTCCTGGCAGTCTCCACGGTGACCATTGTGGCCTTGGCCTCTAGAGCAGGTATGGTGTCCCTGTTCCTCTCTGCTCCGCCACCAGGGCCGCCTCCAGCCCTTATAAATAGGATGAGATGTCCCACGGGGCGGGGGGTGTAGCATGAAGACATGGGCTTGTTGAGCAGAGATAAGAAAAATATTCTGTCTTCTCACTGTACCCTGCTTGAGTCCTTGTACCCTGCTGAGTCCTTCTGGGGAGACTGTGTGGCCTTCTTGGTCCTGGCTCACCTCCCCTTGCCATTGCAGGGTTTACCAGCTCCAGCCCCTAGAATCTCCCCTCTGTCAAGGTCATGGCCAGGTCTTCTCAGTGTACACATTTTAATCCTTTATAGTTACCCCAGGACTCACCAGGGTCTCTGTGCTTGCAGGAGCCAGGTGCCGGCCATGCCCTCAGGACTGGATATGGTCCAGGGAGCACTGTTACTACCTCTCTTCAGAAGCACAGGACTGGGAGGCCAGCCAGGCTTTCTGCTTGGCCCACCATGCTACCCTGCCCCTGCTGAGCCACACCCAGGTGAGACAGGTGACCAGAAGAGGAATGTGCATGTCATCCAAGATCCCAGAATCCTAGCACTGGGAAGAATCTCTAGATGGGGTCCTTCTACATCCTAGAAGTCACCAAGAGCCACAGGAATAGGGTGACATGTAGGGGGACCAAACATCAGGTCTCCAAGGGCTTCATCTAGGAGCTGGGATATCCCCAACCACCCTGCCTGTCGGTCCCAAAGTTACCAGTGTGCTCGGGAGCCAGGCCTGGTGGTAGAGACGCACCTGTCCTCTCTGGGAGGTGGTATGGAAAATAAAGTGCAATTTAACAGGTGTACCAGTCAGGTATTGCTAGAATAGGGCTCAGTAACAAATCACCCCCAAACTCTTCAATTTCAACAACTTCTAACAACAAGCATTTATTTCTTTTTTAAATATTTTTTTTTTAGTTGTCGATGGATCTTTTTTATTTATTTATATGCAATGCTGAGAGTCGAACCCAGTGCCTCACACATGCTAGGCAAGCGCTCTACCACTGAGCTACCACCCCAGCCCAGCATTTATTTCTGGATGGCTGGTCAGTGGATGGTCCTTCAAATGTTCCTGTTTTTATGGTGTTCTCTTCCTGTTTCATGGATGCAATATCTTGTCTTCTTGTGGATCTTTTTTTTTTTTTTGGTGCCAGGGCACTTAACCACCGAGTCACATCCTCAGCGCTTTTTTATATTTTATTCAGAGACAGGGTCTTGCTGAGTTGTTTATGTCCTCGATTAGTTGCTGAGGCTGGGTTTGAACTCTGCCTCAGCCTCCCAAGTTGCCGGGATTACAGGCATGTACCACCGTGCCTGGTGTATTGTGGAACTTAATTGTAGTGTTTTTGAAATTTTTCTCTGCTCTCTGCATGGTCTGAATATGATAAATATGATATACACAGGAAAAAACTGAAAGGCAGATTGAAAAACATACTAATATTTTAATAGTGGTTACCAATGGGAGGCAAGATTATGACTGAATTTATTTTCTTCTTTAAAGCTTTGTTTTCTAACCAGGTGTGGTGGCACACTCTTGTTAATCCCAGTGACTGAAGAGGCTGAGGCAAGAGGATTGCAAGTTCTAGGTCAGCCTCAGCAATTTGGTGAGGCACTAAGCAACTTAGTGAAATGGGTCTCAAAGTAAAAAATAAAAGGGCTAGGGATGTGCTCAGTGGTAAAGTGTCCCCGGGTTCAATACCCAGTACACAAACAAAACAAAACCAAAAAACCCTATTTTCTAAGAATTCTGCAAATAAATCATGCTGGGATTGGAAGAAGATGCTAGAGGAATAGAAACCTACCAGGCCAAAGGGGCTCAGCATAGCAGTTTCTGCCCAGGACCTGGGCCAGGCCAACAGTTAGAGTTTAGGTAAAAACAGGCTGTGTAGAGAGACTGTCCCAGGCTTCTGCACCACATGCCCAGCACTGAGTGCTGCAGGTGCCACCAGGAAGCCAGTAAAGCAGCGCTCCTTCCCCACAGCCTCTCCCATCAGGGGGTTCTACCCAGAATGACCCTGGACCTTGGCTGAGCCTGTCCGCTCCCTGTTGCTGGTGCATCTGCAATGGGGGACATCCAAACAGAGCTTGAGATTAAAGTATACAGGATCAATCATTTGAAACACAAGTAAATATGCAGAAAACAGATAAACTCCTTCCCTGCAAAAAGACTGAAGCAAGATTCACGATCCAGGCAGTTAACAATCCATAACCTCCAGAGGTGTGTGGCAGGAACACAGCATAAGTGGGTACACAAACCAGGGACACAACAGGCTCTCAGGGGTCCCCACAGCTGCAGGCTAAACGGCTCATCTTCCCTAAGAACTGACTGTGCCCAGAGTTAGAAAAAAGGAGAAAATTCAGTGCTGCCTGGGCCATCATTCAGCCCACTCCCCTGTGGCTTGGCGGCAGGTGTTCTGCAGGGTGCAGGGAGGGAGGAGCAACGTTAACAGTGACACTGAATGGAAGCCACGTCTCGATTTTCAGAAAGATTAAACCGTGCATAGATACTCATCTTAGAATTAAGGAAATTCATCCAGGCGCGATGGTGCACACCAGTAATCCCCACAGCTTAGGACGCTGAGGCAGGAGGATCGAGAGTTCAAAGCCAGCCGCAGCACCAGCGAGGCACTAAGCAACTCAGTGAGACCCTGTCTCTAAGTAAAAATATAAAATAGGGCTGGGGTGTGGCTGAGTGGTTGAGGGACCCTGAGTTCAATCCCTGGTACAAAAAAAAAAAAAAAAAAATTAAGAAAATTCAGTAGTCTGGAATATTTGAATCTTCTCTGTGCACACTATGTAGTGAGCTATAAAGACAGAATGTGAAGGGTGGCTGCCAGGAGCAGGGGAGAAAGCAGACAGAAACTCAGTGTTTCATGGGTACAGAGTTTCGCTTTAGGAAGGTAAGAAAGTTCTGGAGGTGAACAGTGGGGATGGCTGCACAGTCATGTGATTGCACTTAATGCCACTAGACTGTACATTTAAA